GGTCTGGGACTGGGTTTCTTATGTAACCATTTTTCCCAAATTGCTGATCCGGAAGGAGGGGCGTGCTGCAGGTGCTATTAGCTAAGAACTATTGGTTAGTGGAGCCCAGAACAAAGACCTTTTCTGCCACAGCAATAATGGAGAACACTATTCCAGCTGAGAGTAGGTTAGCCTGACCCATCCAGTCTTTCCAAGGCCATAGAGTCCCAGAGAGTCCATCTCTTGGCCTTGTAGATAGTTATTTTATGATGCTCAGCTGCTATGTGTTTTTATTTCACATTGTATATTTTATTTGTTTTTATTTATTTTATTGTAAGGTGCCCAGAATTTGCTATATAAATCAAACAAATATACACTATAAAGACAGGCAACAAATTGACACATATTTTCTTATTTATTAAATTTATTTAACTGAACTCTTTTATTGCCATTTTTGATGTTGTATGGGTATGCATGTTTCGTTGACTTTGTTGTTTTAGTAAATTGGTGGCTTATAATTAACATTTTATTTTGTAATATTTGTGTTCTTACAGTACAAAACAGTATATTTACTGATTTTCTTTAATATTTTGATATTTTAATGGGAAATTATATATTAACAATTTGAAGCCAGAAGGTAGACTACTTCTTGTATTGTTTAGCAATATCTGACAAAAACATTTCACATTACAACAGTGGTGGAAAATTTAATTATTATAATCCTTGACCAAGATATGAAATAATTTAAAAAATTTAAAATAGATGGTATCAAAGAATATAGTGAAGATTCTGGCCTCAGCCCTTGCCCAGAGATGTTTAATAATAATTGATGTTGTCAAATATCTTGACAAATGTGCTTGAACTCCAAAATAATTAGAGTCATAGCCAGATTAATCTGGAATATGACTAGCAATTCCAAATCATGATATTGGAATAATCAATTTAACATTCTTCATTAAATTATGTCATAATACAGCTGGTACATGCCTTTGTCTCTATATTTCAGGTCCATGAGGGTCCCATGTAAAATAGCAGCTGTCAGTTTAGCAGCAGGTTTCAGTTTTCCTAATTGTGTGTGTGTGTGTGTGTGTGATTATATAATTGTACGTGCATATTTATGCATCGCAGGACAATCAGCGTTTCTAACCATCTTGGCCAGCTGTTTGAGATCAGAATGAGTCTGAAGTACCTTTTTAGGGCAAAGATCTAAACTTGAAGCAAATGATTTAGATTAGCAAATGACTAAATGATTTAGCCATGGCCACACTTTAAATTTTATTATTAGCTCCCCCATTGCAGAATTAAGACTAGTATAATATTTCCTCTCTTTCCCTATCCTATTTTTTTCTGCATATTTGTAATAAAATGGCAAGTTACTGTGATTTTGTTGAATAAGAATCTGTCTGGATATTGGCGTCTGAATGAAACGAATTTACTTATGCAACTTGGAAAATACAAGAAAACAAAAATAGTGTGTTTGTATTTGCATAGTTGATTGAAACATTCAAGAATCAGTAACAGCCAAACTGTGCCTGAATATCTGCACAAATATCCTGTTATTCATTTTGAGCAAAATCATAATAAGCCTATTATCTATTATCCATAGATTATGTGTTGCTGTTAATTATATAAATCTAACTGAAAATTGATGGTATTACTTTCTGCCATTCAGAGGCAGAAAATACATAGAAACTTTTGTAAAGTCAAACTGAAGACACATTAAGAATGAATCACAAAACTTCTGGAAACTCCAAATCCTACCATGTACATGACATTGTCTGGCCCACCCTAAAATATAAGATTCCTAGCCAGCATTATTACCCTGCAGTATAAAAGTTTGCACAATAGTTGCAGTATTCCTTTTCACTGGAATTTATTAAATATTGTAAAACATGCCAAATTTAAGAAAAGATCCAGTGTAAGTAGTCCTCGATTTATAACATTTTTTTTTCAAAGTTACAACAGCACTAAAAAAGTGGCTTATGACTGTTTTTCACATTTATGACCATTACAGCATCCCCATGGACACATGATCAAAATTCAGATGCTTGACTCATATTTATGACAGTTGCAGTGTGGGGTCATGTGATCATCTTTTGTAACCTTCTGACAAGCAAAATCAATGGAGAATCCAGATTTATTTAACAACCGGGTTACTAACAACTGCAGTGATTCACTTAACAACTGAGGCAAGAAAGGTCGTAAAATGGGACAAAACCCACTTAACAGACATCTTATTAGCAACATAAATTTTGGGTTCAGTTGTGGTTGTAAGTCACAAAATAACATGAGATTGTGAACAAGATTTGTTCCTAAGTCTGTCTTTAAATCAAACTTGTAGGTAAGTCAGAACAGTACATATAGTTCTTAATTACCATCAGTTAGCCAAATGTTTCTCTTAATGTATAGTATACAAAATGGCGTGTGGCATTCTGCATTCTCCTTTTGCAAGCCAATGAACAACTGAAGCTTCAAACTAGTATCATAAATGTCATAAAGATACTATGGATCTTTATATATAATTCAAATTTTTAATATAATAGGCTGAATGGCAGTTTATTCATAAGTACAAATTGTTAAATCAGAAGTTTTTAACCCAGGGACTGCCTCTAAAATCAACAAATACATGATGAAACCAAGGCATTTTCTTACTTAACTCTGAATTTGATAAGCATTTTTCTGTGTCTAGGTATAACTCCTTTCTAGATAGACCAATTTAAAAATCTTTAGTGTTTATATGATCTTAAAGCAAGTATGTCAGTATTTTTGTCTAAAAATATTGTACTTCGAATACGTATAGATTATCATTTGGTATTTGGTTAAAGACCATGAGCAGCATTATAATTTGAGTTTAGAAAACATGAGTAAACTGTCTATTATGCATCATCTTTAGTGTGTCACAAAAAGATGTACAGTTTTCAGAATTTGACTTTTTGTTTGATTTTAATTCAGAGTATTTAATTAGATAATTTATTTCAATGAAAAAGTTGTTGCTTTTTCTTAAACACTTTTCAGTCTCATCTGCAGCTTGATACCCTCACCTGAAGCCACAAGGAGATTCCTTCAAAGGGTTGTCCAATTCTTTCTCACCGTGAAGAACTGGGGGAAAAAAGCCATTTTTTTTCCATTATAATGCATTTTGTATACTCTGGATTATACAGTACAATCATATATAATAAGCCCAGATTACATATTACAGTAATTTTATGGAAGCCAGAAATCTTACAGTAACCATGCTGCTTCTGATATTATTTATCGGTAGATATATATTTTAGTGAGAATATTGGAAAAAGTATCCCCTTGCATACATGAGTGAAGTTGTCTAGCATCTTTGTGGATTGTGTACAGTTGGTCTCAGCATCTATTTTTCATGGCAGCTATTAACTAGAAGTAAACCATTTAGGTCTGGTGATCGTTATAAAACAAACAACTATGTACATTGTGATTCAATAATAAGCACAATTCAATCTGGTTTCACTGTGCATCCTCCAGACTTACTCAGCTATAATAACTAGCATTTTCAGCAAGCATGAGTTTTTATTAGTTGGCTAGAGGACATCAAGTTCATTCATTAATTAAATTTATATAATTGCCCATCTCATACTTGTGCTTCGGTAGGTGCACACAATTAAAAGAAAAAAAATAATTAAAAACAAAAACATTAAAATTAATTAAAAGTTTAAACTTTAAACTTTAATAAGAACAACACATATTGTGATTCTGAGTCATTTATGGACTATCCTCTTCCATTGGATCTCCAAGTCCAGTGGCAGAATCAGATTTTAATGATCTTCTGGAAAGCCCACAGGGTTGAGTAATCACCTTTGGAGGAGGTACATGAGTTCTTCTCATTCCTAACTAACACTGATTGGAACCAGTTTGTAAGGAATTAAGAGAACCAGCACAATTCAGTGTAAGCAATCCCAGCCTCTGAAGCATGTGCAGAAAGATACCACGGTTGATGGTTTTAAAAGCCACTAAATAGTCAAGTAGATCAAAGATAGATCTACTAACTCCATCCCATTCCAACAAGAGGTTAGCCAAAAGGATGACCAGTGCCATCTCCACCTCATACTCTGGTGTGAAATCCAACTAAAAGAGGTCAAGATAAACTGCTTTATCCAAAATCCTATGAAGCTGTTGCACAATCACTTTCTCAACAACCTTCCCCCCAAAAGGAAGATTGGATACTATATAAAAGTTGTTTAGTATGTTGAGATCTAGTGATGGCTTCTTGAGAACAGAGTGTACTAATTTCTCCTCAGCATAAAGGTTAACACTGCAGTGAGCATCCCACTACAGATAGTCTTCAGTTAGCAACCAAAGTTGGAATGTTGCTTAATGACACAGTTGTAATGCAAAAAATCATGCAGTTTCAGTCTCAGTTGTTAAGTGAATTGTGCAGTTGTTAAGCATGTTATCACATGATTACAACTTGCGACTTATTGCCAGCTCCCCATTCATTTTTTTTTTTGTTGTTGTTGAAGCAATGTATGTTGTAAAGGCCAGTGCTGTGATCATGTGAAGATTGTAATTGCATGCTGGTTGTCAAGCACCCAATTCCTAATTATTTTGACTGTGGGGACACTGCTTTGAGGACCAATCATAAGTCTCCCTCTTCAGGTTGGTTGCTGAATGAGTGATTGCTAAGCCAGGACTATCTGTATTTATTTATTAGCAACAACATCCATGATTGCAAAGGTTTGAATTTGAGAACTTCTATATTACAAGTCATTAAGCTAAATCTCATCCCCCCACCCCACATATTCGCTAATAAGTGTCAAACAACATAACTCATTTATTTCATGTAAAATAATTTATTCTGCCTATGAAATGAAGGAAAACTCTGATGCTCATACAGTCTTCTTTTCCCTTGACTCATTATCCTCAGTCCTTGGAACAGAGCTAACTGTACATTTGTTCTTAACTAAATGTATTGTTGTATCTGTTTCTTCATATTCCATCTGCCAGGCCTTCTGCCACTCAGTTACCTTGGATTTTGTTTCTTATTTGTTTTGCAGGTCCACACATTTCGGGGTCCACACTGGTGCGAATACTGTGCCAATTTCATGTGGGGACTCATTGCTCAGGGTGTAAGATGTTCAGGTAATTATAAATATAAATATTGTGTTGCTTTATTTAAAAAATAAATGTACATCTCTTTTAAATGACCATTAAGAGTGCTGAAAGCCAACCTATAAGAGCTACTTTGATCTCATGGGTAAGGCACCAGGCTAGAAACTAGGAGATTGTAAGTTCTAGTCCCACTGTACTCATGAACTCACAGGGTGGTTCTTGTGGGGAAAATAAGAGGAGGAAGGTGTGTTGGATATGTTTGTTATCTTGAGTTCTCTGTTAAAACAGCAAATTTGGAACATTAGTCTCAGCTTGAATGTTTATGAAAAGTTAAAAAAATTGTAACAATATAGTTGCAGATCCAACCTGAATAAAGTAAGAATAATAGCTGCATTAAAACAGATATCTCCGTTTCATGCAGTCAGCTGCCTAACTGAATTTCTCTCTTTTTTTCTGTTTTCCTTTTATGAAATAGAAGATGTTTAATGATAAAGGTAGCAATATCATTTATTAAGGGACTTTAAGTTAAAATATATCAGAAATTTGCTGAAAATACATTTGGATTATTTATCCTTTCTGAATACAATAAAAGTAGCACTGCTAACTTGGCTTCTGAGTGCTGGCATACTATTTGAGATACTTTCACATTGGTATTGGTTTGCATTGAAATATCTACAAATATCCAGAATGCATCAATAGTAGTTTTTCTCATGTCTTGAACTTTTAGCAAAGTTCTTATGTGAAAAGAATTAAAAGATAAAGCTTTATATGCCATGTAGCTAAATGAGAACATCTACTGAATGCTGTATATTAACTGAAACTTAATAAGTCAAGACCAGTTCCAAAGGGAAAATATTTCAGAGTATAGCTAGCAAGATCATTCTTCTCCCAAAGATAAAGGTAAAGCTCTCTAAAACAGAAGTAGTAACCTTATGGGTATGTATTTATAACCATACAGATGGTCCTCCACTCATGACCATACTTAACATAAGGTAGTTGTTAAGTGAGTTGCACTTAATTTAACATTATTGTTAAGTGAATCCAGCTTCCTTCATTGACTTTTCTGGTCAGAAGCCAGCTGAAAAGGTTGCAAATGACAATCACATGACCTGGGACACTGCAGTCAAGAACCCATTTGGAGCACAAGTCATAAGTCACCAGTTTCAGTGCCATTATAATTTTGAATGATTGTATCTAATAGTACTACCTGTACTGTTTTCTTGCAAGAATTCAGAAGTAGTTGCCATTTCCTTATCCCAGATGGTTTTTGAATTCCTAGTTTAATCTACAGAGCTGGATTATTAGATGCACCATTCAAGTGTGAACCAGGTCCAAAATTACTAGCTTTATTGAGATCAAATGAGATAATAAAGAGTTGCCATTTCCTGTGATATTCTCACTAAAACAAGGTGGCTCCTACTCAAATTTGGCCAAGTTGCTGTAGTCATAGAGGTCTTTCCTGACAGTAAAAATGTAACCATGATTATGGCATAACATATTGCTTCCTTTTCTTATCTCACCAATTTAGCTAACCAAAGGGATATCTTCATCTTATCTAAAATAACATGCTTGTAAAAGAGAAGGAGGGAGGGAGGAAGAGAGAGAGAGAGAGAGAGAGAGAGAGAGAGAGAGAGACTGTCCTTACACAATAGTGCCAATATTTACAGCTGCAGATGTCCTAGAGTTACAAATTCCAAAATTCATAATTAATATATCTGTATCCCAACATATCCAGATGTCATCAGTTGAAATATCAGTGTAGTATTAAGAGTGGAGAAGTGAAATATGATTTTAGGATTTGAGAAATTGTTTTCTTTGTATGAAATATAGAAATAAAAGTGTTAAATATACTATGTACTGCTGGTTTGTTATTTAAAAAATGTAACCTAAGAAATAGTTAATGCAAAACTTAATGTTCTGATTAATTAATTTCTAATATTAACTCTAAGAAAGCAATATTAACTCTAAGAAATTTCTAGTGAGAATTCTTACACTGGCTGGGTTTGTTTAGAATTAACATAATAACAATACAGTAGATGGTATTTGACTTAAAGAATATAAAGTTTACTTATGGATGTAAAACCAATATTTTTTTAAGTTCAAGTGAATGGACCATGTTTCATGTGCTCATAAAAACACCGTATTGTTATTACAGTGAGTTACATTGTCAGCCAGATGTTTAGACTGAATTTGGCATTTTTATCATATCTAGTCCTTCACAAGGACCTGGGAGAGAAAAATGTTATTTGATTGTGTTAAAGGTTTTGTTGCAGTATGTAAGCTGTTTCAAGAAAAGCTGCCTTTTTCAATTATTTTGAACTATTAGTATCTAAAATATAGATTTTATGATCTGAATGCCACACTCCTACGGGAGTGGAACATGTTATTTCATGTTATTGTTATTTTAAATAATTAAACCTAGTTAATATGATTATTCTCCATCAATCAATAAACAATTGCAGTGAGATCTCTGAAGATATCCCAAGATTTTCAGATGGGAATTCCACTCATTGATATACCAGACCCTTTCCTGCAAATATCTAGGAGGGATTTTATCCAACCTCTCATTAAGGAAATTAAATACAATCTTACAAATTAATCTTACAAAATTAAAACTCATTGAAATCAGTGAGCTTATTTCTACATACAAAGGCATAAGTGCATACTTAAGTTGTTCCCGCCCAATAGTTTTATAGGCAAGGAGTGAATGACCCCAAATTACAAATAGATCTAATGTAAGGGAACCTATTAAGCATATTTACACATTTGACTTACATGTATTGATTATCTCTTTATTGTGCATAGGTACACACATAAGAACCCCAAACTTCTCCCCATAATATTTTTCCTATGGAAAGATCTCCATTTTTTTTTTAGCACTCCAACATTTAGAGAAGAGTGAGGGGAAAGAAAATCTCCCTTCTTCCTTGCTCCTAGAAAAGCTCCATAATTGCTTTTAATAAAGAAAAAAAATGGAGAATCACAATATTGCTGTTTCGTTTTTGCCCTCCGGATAAGATCAACTCCCTTTGCTAACACGATTGCTTAGTACTACTACTTTTTTTTAGCTGTAAAAGCAATTTTTAGCTCAGATGTACATTTTTTTATGATTCTTCAGGCCTCCATGGTAGCTGCAAAGATTTTTTAAAAAAAAAAAAAACTCTGCTTTTGCAGCTGCCTTATAAATCCAGTGACAGCTGAAAACCTAAGAGCCCTTCTAGACCTTGGATCTTCTCTTTCATGAAGAATGCAACAAAGCTAAATTGAATTTTAATCTTCAAGTCTAGCATCCTATTTATTGACTGCACATGTGTTTTGTCTAAATTTAATTTCAACTAATAACTTTAAAATATCATATGGCTTCCATAATGTATTTTTGAATTTGTTCACTAATTTTATAGAAAGGGTGATATTACTCCATTGAATGCAATTCTGGTATTGTATGCATCCAGCTATAATCAATTTCTTATCAAATTATCAGAATTACCCTGTGTTTCACTGTTCTATCCATTTTGTCCTTATTTTCTACACAGATACTTTACATAATTTCTTCATTTTTAATAACTTAATATGTGCAAGTTCCTACATTAAAATCTTTGTTTCATGGTCTCCTGCAAACCCTTTTTCCATTTGAGGTAGGGAGAGGGTAATCATCAAGGAAAGAGATTCTTCATCACTGTTCTATCCATTTTGTCCTTATTTTCTACACAGATACTTTACATAATTTCTTCATTTTTAATAACTTAATATGTGCAAGTTCCTACATTAAAATCTTTGTTTCATGGTCTCCTGCAAACCCTTTTTCCAGTTGAGGTAGGGAGAGGGTAATCATCAAGGAAAGAGATTCTTCATAGATAATAGTCTAGTTGTTGGATGGTCTTATATATAATTGTTGAAGTGATAAGAATTTTAAGGTGTGGATTATTTTGTGTTATTGTGCTTTTATGCTGCTTTCTAAAATTTGGAATGTTTACATTTTAATTAATTTTAACAGTTTTGTATTATTTTGGTGCAAATTGTCATGAAGACTTTTGTTGAATAAATGTAGCAATTAATTTAGTTTTCAGACAATGATGCCTAACATTTTTCCAAAACTAGGAACATGGTGACCATATATGTCTCAGCTGTAGATTATGAGATTTAATTAAGAGCTCAAGGCAGTGTACCATCTGCTGTTTGTTTTGGTAAAAGCCAGATCTGATACCTTTGTTTTTGCATAAGAACCAGCCTTCATAACAGTATAGTTGTTTTATGTATTAGCTTAATCTATAGGATAGATATGTTAAAAATAATTTTGGAGATACAAACATATATCATGTATATCAATTTATATCTATATTTCACTCTTGTCAACTATTTATTTTTGATTGATTTATATAGCCACTTATCTCAATCTTGTAACTTTATGCAGTTCACAATACCCCCCAAAAAATCACCTTAATATTTTTCTACAGACTGTGGATTAAATGTACACAAGCAATGTTCAAAGTATGTTCCCAATGACTGCCAACCAGACCTTAAGAGAATCAAGCGGGTCTATTGCTGTGATCTCACTACACTAGTGAAGGCCCACAATGCACAGAGACCCATGGTGGTGGACATATGCATACGTGAAATTGAATCAAGAGGTATAGTTTTTTTATGTTTTTTAAACAAAATTCTAATTTCTCAATTACTGAAATTCTGACATCATTCCATATTTTGATAATCATTATCAGATACTAAAGTCTGAATAATATTCTGATAAGTATTTCAAAAATGGTTAAAATAATATATTGGGGCTATTTGTATTTTGTTCTGTTTTCTAATAAACTTTTGTTAAGTGAAAGATTTTAAATTTTAAATCAATTAAATTTCAACCAGCTGAGTAAGTTGAAGTTAGATTTAAGTGTAAAGATAGATTTCCAGTAGGTCTGAATGTGTTCCTACTTTTTAATGCTCCAACTGTAATAATTAGAGCTTAAGAAAGCTTTTACTTTTTTAATCTGACCTCTCCATATAGAACTGACAAAAATGCTTAGGAAAAAACTAGGAGGGAATTTTAATATAAAAGAACTTCTAAAATTGATTTTGGCATTAATCGGAAATTCAAAACTGGTGAGCTAAGAAGCAACCTTTTGTTTTTAGTTCTTCTTCTTTTTAGACTTCCTTGATCTCATGCTCTCCATGTGTGTTGCTACTGTAGCACCCAGCTGAGATAGTTAGCATTTTGACTGGGAATTCCAAAATGAAAGTTTTTAAATTAAATGAAGGCCACAGTCTCCACTTGAAATGAAAGCTCTGTCAAAAGATAGTTGCAAATTCACCTGAGAAAATATGGAAGAAAAAGTACGGAGAATGAAAATATATCTGTAGACAGCAATTGATAGAATTTTGGTTTGCAGGTTTGAAGTCAGAAGGCATTTACAGAGTCTCAGGGTTCACTGAACATATTGAAGATGTCAAAATGGCCTTTGATCGAGGTATCAATTTATTTTAGATTTGGAAAAATGATATCTACTATGTTTAATTGCACTCCCTCATAGGTTTGGTTTTGTCATTAAATATGTAATTTTTACTTCTCTCGAAGGTTGTATATGATGATTCTTTTATTTTCAACTTATATTTACCGCATGCATCAAAATACATCCTACTTGGAAGATGCATAGTATCCCAAAAGAAAGAAAGATCCTGCTCTTCATTGTGAAGCTTTCTGTAGTAGGATCCTGAATTACTAGACTAAACTAAAGTGCATTTTTTACAGTAGTAGATATTCCATCGGGACCCTCATTTGTGCCTACAGCCTTGCTCATATGATGCTTTGCTATAGACAAGAATGAATCTTTTTACATTCTACCACACTTGAATTCCTTCTTCCTGGAAGTGCTCTATCATGTGCTATTTCTGCACTTTCTGTAAAACAAGGATAAATTATAAGGATAGATAATGTTCTGATTTTTTAAAAAAATCAAGACTTTTGATTTAGTACTATTGATTCCTCTAACATTTAGTAAGAATGTAAGAAGAATTGTTTATTCTTCCACTGAATGAAAATTAGTGTTATACAGCAACAGTTGCTCACTGTGCTGAATTGTTGTTCAGTTCGGTTTCTGCCAACATATAAAACCCTTATTGTGCAGCTTGTTCATAGTGGCCTCATTGTGGTTACTAATTTCTGAGCTTTTGTTTGTTTCTTTGTCCTGCTTCACATTAAATATTTCATATGTAATGTTGGCTTATTACTGAGAGAGAATTGCATAATTATATTTCCTACCTTTATGGATGTCTCTATTCATCTTTGTCTTGTGAATATTTCAGCAACACAATCTATCCTAGAGATAAGAATGAGCAGAAATCACCTGGTTCATACCATGCATGACGTGTCTTTTTCGGCTGACTGAAAATAGCACAGTGCAATGATTTATAACAAGTCATACATGTACCACAGATAGGACTTACAAACAAACAGTCTGAGTACTTCTCTAAAAATGTAAGGCTTTGAACACTGTATATAGTAAATATAATAATAGAATGCCTATTCATAGTTAATGTCTTTCTTCAAAAGATCAGCCTTTTAGTGGGCGGTCTTTTGCCACAGTCTTTCTATTTCTATTTGTAGGTCTTTGTATTTTGTTATCTTCTCCAGTTCTTTCTCGTCTATTCTGCTGTCTCCAGGCACTGCCACGTCCACTATCCAGACTTTTTTGTCTTTCTTATCGACAATTGTTAAGTATGGGGTGTTATGTTGCAGGTGCTTGTCTGTTTGAATTCTGAAGTCCCAGAGCAGTTTAATTTTATCATTTTCTATGATTTTCTCTATTTTATGATCCCACCAGTTTTTGCTTACAGGCAAATGATATTTTTTGCAGATCTTCCAATGCACCATTGTTGCTACTTTGTCATGCCGTTGCTTGTAGTCAGTCTGTGCAATCTTCTTGCAACAGCTTACCAGGTGGTATGCTGTTGCAAGAAGATTATTAACATTATTGTTGTTATTATTATTATTAATATTATTATTATTATTATGGATCATCGCACAGTCAGCCACAGTCAGCCAGATGTTCAGACTGGATTTGGCATTTTGTCTCCTATCGAGTCCTTACCCAGGACCTGGAATAGGCAGATGTGGATGTTTGATGGTATTACAGATATCGTCGCAGGATGGATGCAGTTCCTAGTAAGGCCGCCTTTTGCAATTGACTAATAGCGAATTTGTCAATGCCAATGGTGTTCAAGTGGTGCTCCAGTTGTTTTGGGATTTCACCCAAGGAGCCTATTACTATTGCTACTACCCTTGCTTGCTTTTGCCACAGTCTTTCTATTTCTATTTGTAGGTCTTTGTATTTGTTATCTTCTCCAGTTCTTTCTCGTCTATTCTGCTGTCTCTAGGCACTGCCACGTCCACTATCCAGACTTTTTTGTCTTTCTTATCGACAATTGTTAAGTATGGGGTGTTATGTTGGCTTGTCTGTTTGAATTCTGAAGTCCCAGAGCAGTTTAATTTTATCATTTTCGATGACTTTCTCTATTTTATGATCCCACCAGTTTTTGCTAACAGGCAAATGATATTTTTTGCAGAACTTCCGATGCACTATTGTTGCTACTTTGTCATGCCGCTGCTTGTAGTCAGTCTGTGCAATCATCTTGGAACAGCTTACCAAGTGGTCCACTGTTTCTTCAGCTTCTTTGCATAGGCGGCACTTACTGTCTGTTGCTATCTTCTCAATTTTGACTTTATATGCATTTGTCCTTAAGGCTTGGTCTTGTGCAGCCAGAATTAGACCCTCAGTCTCTTTCTTCAATTTTCCTGCTGTTAGCCATTGCCAGGTCTTGTTATTATCTGCTTTCCCAGCTATTTTTTTAACATATTGGCCATGTAGTGCTTTGTCTTCCCATGCCTCTATTCATGCCTCAAATGTTCTTCATTTGATGTTTCTTGTAGGCCTGTTTGGTCTCTCCAGTAGTCAATAAGCCTTCCTGATATACTAATTTCAGTGCATCTTCATCATTGTTCTTCAGATATTCTTCCAAAGCCATTTTTTCTTCTTCAACCATCTGATGTACTTGTAGCATTCCACGCCCACCTATTTGCCTTGGTAGATAAAGTCTGTCAATGTCACTGCGTGGATGAAGGGCATGATTCATTGTCATTATTTTTCTGGTCCATTGCTTTTAGTTCTGCTTGAGTCCAGTCCACTATTCCATCTGTGTACCTAATGACTGGAATTGCCCAAGTGTTGATTGCCTTTATGGTATTTCCTCCATTGAGTTTGGACTTTAAGATCTTCTTCACTCTCTTGATGTATTCACCTCTAATCTTTTTCTTGACTTCAGTGTGCTTGATGTTGTCAGCTTGAAGGATACCCAAGTATTTGTAGTATCTTCCTCATCCAGACTCTTAATGTTATTTTCGTGGGGCATCTTGATTCCTTCAGTTTTCACTATTTTTCCTTGTTTGATAGTAAGTGTGGCACATTTGTCCAAGCCAAACTCCATTACAATATCTTGGCTATATATACGGACAGTGTTGAGCAGCGATTCTATTTCAGATGATGTTTTTCCACACAGCTTCAGATCATCCATGTAAAGGAGATGGGATAGTCTGGCAGATGTTTTTGATGTTTGATAGCCATGTCCTGAGTTATTCAGTATTATTGACAGAGGAAACAGTGCAATAACAAATAGTAATGGTGATAATGAATCTCCTTGAAATATTCCTCTCTTGATATTAATCTCTCCCAGTCTCTCACCATTGATCTGCAACTGTGTCTTCCATTGTGCCATCGATCTTTGCATAAATTTTCTGAATAATTATTATTATTATTATTATTATTATTATTATTATTATTATTATTTTAAAGAATTGCTTCCCAATTCCAACACACTAACAGAATTTAATTCAACTGTTCCAAATGAATTTACTAATATGATAAGCTTATAGTTTGTCTTTTCCTGATGACCATTATTTCTATTGAGAGAAGTGTAGATGTATTTTTTCAGGTTTAGTGCTAACGGTTAATCCATAAAATCAGTAAAACCAATAAAAATACAAAAATACAGTCAGGTAAGCAAAGTGGGAAAGGAATTCAGAAGGAATTATAATTTCTGCAAATTTAATTTTTATTTTCATCAGGCTAGCTTTATATCTGTCCCCAAACATTCCACTTATATAAAGTATCACAGTATTAGCTAGGGCTAGCCAGCTAAAATGTGAGTCATTTTAGTTTAGAAACAAAGTTTAGCTATGTTTATCTACAGACCAACAATAAACAATTAAGCTCTAATAGGTTTTAAACCAGAGCACTAAAAGGATTATTTCTTTCCATATTGCCTTATCAGCAGTGGTGGGATTCAAATAAGTGAACAACTGGTTGTCTTTGTGGATGCCACTTCCGAAAGTCCATTCTGAGCCTGGACAACAAAAAATTAGCTACCGGTTCTGATGAACTGGTGTGAACTGGCTGAATCCCACCACTGCTTATCTGTCTACTGAAATTGACATAGGAAAGTCCTGTCATTCTATTTCTACACCATCCTATTTCCATGAGAACTGTGTAAATCTGGCTAGAGGTTGAACAGACTTTTCTCATCTATTTTTAATTTGTACTGTTTTAAAACATATTGTTCAGTTTATTATATCCAAACATTAACAACCTTGGGCATTTTTTTAGAAAAACAGATTGGTGAAATCATAAGGAATAGATTCTCTGTTGTACTCATAATAATATTATGCATTAGATAAGCAACAGTGCTGTGATGTGAGTTGTGTAAGAACGTATTTTCCTACAGTTGCACCAACAATAATATTGTATATTTCAGGCAACATAAGGAAGGCAAAAAGAGACACTAAACTAAAATGTAGATAGACTTTTAATGATAGTTCAAAGCCATTTCAGATTCAGTTTTATAATTCCCCCACCCATTACCTCAAAAAGCTGTACTTTTGTTTTCCAAACATTTTACACCAAGGATATGGTGTGAGGGCTGTATGTATCTCTGTGTTTGAAAAGCTATGACAAGAAATAGTTAGTTTTGTCCCCGTAAAAAATAATCTTAAAACCCATACTCATTCTTTTTCCAGATGGTGACAAAGCAGATGTCTCTGCTAATATATATCCTGACATAAATATTATTGCTGGCGCACTAAAACTGTATTTCAGAGATTTACCAATTCCTGTTATCACTTATGATACTTACTCTAAGTTCATAGAGGCAGCAAGTAAGTATTAAGACAGATTTCCTTTATTAATCACTTATTACATTCCATAATATCATAGTTCTAAAATTCTTAAAATATAAAATTCCAAATTAGATTTTTATTTAATGTTCACATTTATCCCTAATGAAATTTACCATGCCCCACAGAAATCTCCAATGCTGATGAAAGACTAGAAGCTGTTCATGAAGTGTTAATGTTACTTCCTGCTGCACATTATGAGACTCTTAGATACCTGATGATTCATCTCAAAAAGTAAGCTATATTGCTTTGTTTTATGGTGTGTATGTGTGTGTGTGTGTATACAGGTACACACATAAACACAATTGAGCCAAACATTTCTGTTGATAAGTGAATCACTCTAGTTGATAAGTTAGTAACCCAATTGTTAAATGAACTTGGCTTCCCCATTCACTTTGCTTGTGAGGTCGCAGAAATTGATCATGTGATCTTGGGACACAGCAGCAGTCATAAACATGAACCCATTATCAAACTTCTGAGTTTTGATCACATAATCATGGGGATGCTACATCAGTTGTAACTGTGAAAAACAGTAATAAGTCACATTTTTTAGTGCCATTGTAACTTGGAACAGTCACTAAACAAACTGTTGTAAGTCCGGGACTGGGTGTGTGTAGAGTTAAAAAGGGGAATCAGCCTAGACTCTCTATATAGCCACAAATGTATAGAATTCAATATCCTGTTGAATTCTATTGCCTTTTGTGTAATGTCAGAATAATGCTAACCGTTCATTGAGTAAATTCCTGTGCATAGGCATGAGTAGTAATAACTCAGTTTAATTGGAACTTCATGTGTAATCCTGGTTGCTGCTGTATCTGACAATTTGTTTGTTATGCTCCTTGATGGAATAATTAAAATAACTAAAAAGAATAATAAATAAAAATAGGAAGCTTGGACTGGTATGCTTATATGATGTCACTGGATGTATTAGACTTTAAGAGATGGAAAACCAAGAGCACGGAGAATCTTGTAATGTTTGTGTTGTCTTATTACCTGAAGTAAATAAATACAAAGAATTGTGAAAGAGCAAAATAATTTGTAGAGTTTGAGTTGTAGAAGCATATGTGTAGTCATGAACACTAAAAATAGTATTTTAAAAAGCAATTCTAAGTAATGTATATGTGTGTGTGTGTGTGTGTGTGTACATATTGTCTTCCCATTGTAGGATTACCATGAATGAAAAGGAAAATTTTATGAATGCTGAAAATCTGGGAATAGTGTTTGGACCTACTTTAATGAGGCCCCCAGAAGACAGCACTCTTGCTACACTCAACGACATGCGGTACCAGAAGCTAATTGTGCAGATACTAATAGAAAACGAAGATGTTCTGTTTTAGACAAGCAAAGCTATAAATTTATAATAATCTACAGTGAAAATTAAACTCAAATAAATCCTCATGAAAAGAATCATGAGCAATGTTTCATTTTATGTGTCTTGTAAATGTACACTAAAATATTTAGTAAAAGCTATGTTTCAACAAGTCAGAAGAACAAAAGTTTTTTAAAAAATCTTCCCTTTTCATCTTTTACCTTGTTTCCCATTTGTCCCTGTGTAGAAAGGTTACAGACTTCTTCTGTTAACTTATAAAATAAAAGAAACTTTGTATATTTGTTTAGACCATTGAAGCAAAAAAAATCTTATTCTGGCTCAATTTCTACTACAATTAACTCTCTCGGCCCAGCAACTTGTAAAAGTTCATATGCGTAGCAAATGTATTTTGCTAGATATTTTAGTTCTCTCTTTTTTTAGAAGCTTTGAACATAATTATACACAAATAGACCATGTCTACATACATACATACATTCCTATGTAGAAATATATGTAGAAACAGGGACCAATTAATGCAGCAAGATCCATGTTCACATAATATTACTTTCAAGATATGAATTAATATCTTTAGTCATTGCAATACTACAGAAGATAATGGCAAGATTGCAACAAATGGTCATCATAACCAAAATAAATACCCAAAAAGTTTTAGTTTGTCCAAGAACTATCATCAGGATGTTCATTAGTGTTACTTCTATATGGATATACATTTTTTTCATGTAAGACATAAAATTATATATGTCTGAGTGAAATAAAACATGTATTTATAAATATATTTTATACTTACGTTAGCTTTTGGGATGTCTTTTTATTAAGCAAAAATATAATTCAGTGCGGTGCATTGATTATTTTCTGTATATTTTTCTTAAGCATTATTGCTATATTGTACTATATTGAAACTATTTACCACTGTTGCAGTATTATCCTGACATATTTCTTCAACTGCAAATGGTTTTTAAAAGATTTTACTTCACATCCATCTGAACATTTATTGTAGAGCTGTGGCAAATGGAATAATTTTTGTTTTAATTTTACCTCCATAAAAAAGTATATTGTAAAAAAAATTAAATATTGTTGGTAGTTCCATCAACTATGATACTTAACATTTGTTTCTTGAAATGCAGTATAGTTTTGTTTAAAATAAGTAATGCCAGATTCTTGCATATTTCTGAACTTAGTAAAAAATTCACACTTCAATTTTTGTTACTTTTAAATGCCAAATGAGTTCAGTCTACTTATAAAAGTAGACCTATTTTAATTAAGCCTTTCCTCTTCATTGTATTTTGGCCAATGTGTTAATAATGGAGAATGAATGAAAGAGAAGTGATACATTATCAAATTTCATGGAAGTTTTATTCTGTCTTTCTAGACACTGACCTGTCAATATAATAAATGCAATTCATTCTAATATTATACATATTTCTCATCATAAGATTTTTATACACATATTTAAAACACAGGTAGATAGTATAGTGTAAATCAGAATTTTCTCTAGGAAAAACTGTTAAATTGTACTCTTTATTTGTATGGATTGCAAGTTTTGAAAACCAATTATACTGTTTTCTGAATTATTTCAGGGAGCATAGGTTTCTAAACAAATAAGTGGGTAATTTTGATAATGAAAGAAGATTAAAGATCAAACGGGGCAGGGAAACAATGTATATTAATTATCCTTTATCTAAATCAACAAGGGCTAGATAGATAGATCCAGGCTGCAGGCCAAATGACAGTGGGGTATAATTTTGCTGGATAATAGTCCTAGAAACTCTCTTAAGTTGCACAAATTTAAATGTTGTCGGCTATATATTAAATATTGCTATAAAATGGTATGGAAATGGTTTTATTTTGTGATGTGAAATATGCTTTGTAATTTATGATATCATGGTGTAAATGGAAAAAAAATAAATTTGTTAAGTTCATTTGTCATTTTCACTGAAAAACAAAAAATATATTTTCTCCGTGTCTTTTTGAGATTTCATAGCTTATGTGCAAGAGTTAATCAGTGTGACACTCATTCATGCCTCTATCATCTTATACTTGGATATTACTACAATGTATTGTGTTTGGGATGGCTTTTGAAGATTACTCAAAAGCTGAAAATACCACAAAATGCAACAACCATTGGCACAGGAAAGCTGCTGCATATCAGTAGCATTGATGCTGAAAGTAGGATACAATTTAAGGACTGCTTTCAACCAATAAAGCTCTTATGGCTCAGTTCGTATTATGGGAACATCTCTTCCTCCAGGTTGGAACTGCCCTTCCTATATGTGCAACGTAACAAGGTATGGTGAAGTTCTGGTTGTAAATTCAGACTTCTTCGTTGGCTGTTTCAGCCATATGGAACATTTGATTCCCTAGATGAGGTGGGCCTCTTTTTTTCCTCCCAGAAGATAGTTGGAGTGGCATGGTGACCTAGTGGTAAAGATGCTCACCTCCCACTCAGAAGGTTGAGAGTTCAGTTCTAGGTAGCAACGAATGTTTCTCCCTTAGGACACAAAGAGAAAATATTTCCTGTAATCTCCATTTAGGCATCAGGAAGGACATCCAGCCAGTAAATTAAGACACTTCTATTCCAGTGTGTTTGTGATACAGCCAATACATCCCAATATACAATACTGGCTATGATCGATGACTGGTTTTTAATTTTGTGATTTTACTGATGAGGGTTTAGTTTTATTGACAATTCTGGAGGTTACGTGATTGTGGCTGCTCTGATCTATCACTGGGCATCATACACAGTTTTAGTAAATAAATATAAGTAAATAACTCAAATTACTGAGACCTTTGTCAAATATTCTAACAGAATGATGCAATCATCTCCAATATTTCACCAGTTTCAAGTTTTTCCTCACAGGTCGTCCTCAACTTACAACAGTTCATTTGGTGACTGTTCCAAGTTGCAGTGGCACTGAAAAATTTATGATCGTTTTTCAACTTTCAACTTACAACTGTTGCAGCATCCCCATGGTCACATGATTAAAATTCAGATGCCTGGCAACTGACTCATATTTATGATGGTTGCAGTATCCCAGGTCATGTCATCACTTTTTGTGACTTTCTGACAAGCAAAGTCAATGGGGAAGCCATATTCATTTAACAACCATGTTACTAAGGAACTGCAGTGATTCGCTTAACAACTGTGGCAAGAAGGCATAAAACGGAAAAAAATTCATTTAACTATCTCATTTAGCAATGGAAATTTGGACTCAATTGTGATTCTAAGTTGAGAACTATTTGTACTCTTAAAATTCCTAATATGATGAAAGAAAAAATATCAAACTATATCTTTCTGTAGGTATTAACCAGTTAGCTGAAATCAAATATTTAGTAGCCCATCATGTTTTCCCAATGCATTTCTGAATAATATTCAGTATGAAAAATATTATAAGAAATGTATTTTCTTACTCTTTTCCTTATATATGTCTCCAGGGCTCAAAGATTTACTAATGTGCCAAAGACAAAACACAATGTATATGTGTGATAGACGTTTCATATTATGTTGTTATAAGTAAAATAATTTTGTTTTTTGTGATTTATATACATTATTTATAATCTATATTGTAATAATATATTATGCACATTCTGTAAAGTCCAAACTAAATGCTCCAGGACTAAATATTTACCATATTTTTGTCTATGAAAAACTCACACCAGGATCCTTTAAACATATTTATTTGGGAATACCATTCTTTCCATATTTGTAAAATTTAAAGTTTTCAAAGTATTGCAGTCACTCATTGAAAAATTGTTAAAATGTACAATTTATATACATTATAAATATATATATACAAATAATAACTTACAATGGGTGACACTGCTTTCATAATTTTGACAAAAGCAGCAAACTCTTGGGGCACTGCTACAAATAGATTTCCACACTGACAATCCAGGTGTGAACTGAAAAGTTTTAATTTGTGCAAATCCCAATAAATGTGCATCCTCCTCTTCTGCTAACAAGATATCATATCAAAAGTATTACAGTGTGAAAATGCTCAATAATGATCAACAACCTCAAATGTGTCTTGAACTCAATACTTCTTTTTCATCTGAGTTCTATATTAACACATCTTGAACCCAACTATATAATTGAAATTAAAAGTGTAATTATTCAAAAATTACAAAATATAAGAGTTATAAATAAACCTAGGTTTCCTAAAATAAAGCAAGAAAACAAAAGTAGCTATGGAAGCATACATTCTGTGCTACTCTAATATTTTCTACCATTTCTTGCTATATTGGAAATGTCATTCCTACAGTACAGTCCTTGACGTACGACCACAATCGTGCTAAAAATTTCTGTTGCTAAGCAAGCCAGTTCATTTTTGCCCCAGTTATTGAGTGAATCATTGCAGTTGTTAAGTTAGTAACATGGTTGTTAAGTGAATCTGGCTTCCCCATTGACTTTGCTTGTCAGAAGGTCACAAGAGGTCATCACATGACCCTGGGATACTGCAACAGTCATAAATATGAACCAGTTGCTAAGTATCTTTATTTTGATCAGCTTAGAGATGACCAATGGTTGTAAATGTGAAAAACAGTCATAAGTCACTTTTTTCAGTGCCATTGTAACTTTGAATGGTCACTAAATGAATGATTGTAAGTCGAGAACTACTTCTATTAGAGTAGGCTAATTTTACTGACAATTTCAATTTGCTGTGGAGACTGATGCAGTTATTATTTATTGTTTACAATTCCTTTGTTTAAAGGAATTAATTATATTGAACCAATAAAATGGAGCTTGGACAAAATTATTTTTCACTTGTCCTATTGTTTAAAAGGATCAGTTTACTGAATCAATAAAATGAAACTTGGATAAAATCCTTTTTCACTTGCAGTCAGAGAGTAACAGCAAATAACTTAATATCAATTTTAGCAGTCCACATCAGCTTTTCTTAACCTGATGTTCTTCAGATTTGTTCTACTTTAAGTCTTATCCAAGGAAACATTGCATGATGCCCTTCCATAATGACATTGTGGGAGTGATGACACCATGGAAGTGATCTGCACATATTTCAGAGCATCATTTGTATGAGTATAATGGAACCAACTTCAAAAGCTGCTTCAAGAGAGTTGTCGGCAGCTGCTGCAGTCCTTGATGTAACACATTTTTATTCCAAAAATGGCCACATAGAAAGCAAGATTAAAAAAAAAAAGTAAAATGAAGAAAATAACTCATCTATGGAAATTCTTAATCATCCAGGTCACAGTTGTCCCAAAAGTGGTTTTTTTTTCTTCAAAAAGGCAACTGGATTTTTTTGGTTTTTATTCTGAAAATTTTTCGCTTCTCATCCGAGAAGCTTCTTCAGTTCTGAAGAAGGAGGATGATATTTGGGAAGTATTGCATGTGACAAATTCATTGACATGACCAAACTCCATTGAAATCAATTTAAAGCATACGTAAACACAAGCATAGGCAGAGGGAAGAAAAGAAGATGCAGTAATTATAATTTATCTTTTCTTTTATTCTAGAATGTTAACATTGGCATTTAAGTAGGATTAAATATGTTCTTACAAATGACATTTAATCATGAGAGCAGGCTGCCCCCAAAACTGCCAGCACCTGTGCTTTTTTTCCATTCTTTTCAAGGCCTCTCCTCAGCATCAGCATAGCAAAATAACTATAAAAGCTTGCTGGGAAAAAGCCGAGGGAGTATTGGAATAGCAGTAACTGTGAAAAGTGCAGAAGAGAGAAACTAGAAGTAAGTAATGTGCTTTGTGTGTGTGTTATCTAGGGACCTGTCTTATTGTTGGCTGTTTTGTGTCTTAAGCCTACCGAATTTGTTATAGTTTAAAAGAACGTAGCTCATATTCTTTTTATTTTAAAAAAATTAAAAAATTAAATACTTTTTATAAATACATTTAGAGTTGTGTAAGAAGAGACAGATATTTAATATTAAGACAATCCTGAAATGATGGTAGTCTTTTAAAAGAGCATACAAGAATTTGGGGGAAGCTTGTAGATTATGGAACTGGGCAAGGGATGAGTTCAAATGTTTTATTTTCATAAGCCACACTTATCAGTCTGAACTGGAAACATGCCAGTGGATAAACACAAAATAAAATGATTTATTAGTACCTTAACTATCAATTCTGCATGCACAGAAAATTTAAATCTTTGAGGCTTTTATTCACAGCTCAGACACTTACATTCTATGATTGTCTTTTTTACTCCAGGTTAAAATGCCCCCAACTGTACTTCTGAGATCAAACATTTGTTTCCGTGTGCTATCATCCTGTATCCAGGAAGCATCAAGCTAGATGTGTGATGCTGACTGGGATATGCTGGGCGTTGAAGTTCACATATCTTCAAACTGTTGGGAAATACTGGTCTAGAAGATCATCTCAGTGGGACATTGATTATCCCAAGAAACTTCACTCGTTCCCAAAGTCTGCCATTCCAGAGATACAAACATAATACATTAAAGTACCAATGTTAACATGTTAAGAAACGAACAAAATCCTAGAAGGGCTGCCTATTCCCTCTCTTCAAGTCTCTGCTTCAACGTATGTTTAATGTTCAACTATAATCTCCCTTCCAGAATGCAGAATAAAACTTTATTTCCACCCTTGCCCCAAATAGATATGAATAACATTTAAGCAAATATTAAAATAAGCTAAAGAAATATCATCCCTATAATGAGTCCCAGTCCCTCTTCGTCTCTTCAATTTTTGATGCTTTCTTAAGTAATTATTCTCAGAGGCCTTCAGGTGTATTTTATTACCAATATTGGTTATACCTGGGTTTTAATATGTCCCACTAAGACTTTTCTTCAATTTACAAGGGAGGGGAAAAGAAAAGAGAACCTATTTGTCAATTGCTGCAGCCAACATCCAATTAGATCGACAAAGATAAATTTTTGTCCTGTTCTCTTTTACAGCTACCTTTGCCAGTTATTTGAAATATTAGAGCTTGCTGAGTTTTTACTTACTGCCGACCAACGCTTGTCAAATTACTTTTCTATAGGAACCAATCACATTTTTGAAGAAGAAAAGGGCGGGTTCCATTCGAGAGCTCACCTACACCTGCCTCCTAATTGTTTTCCCAAGAAATACCCAGCACAGTTTCCATCGCTGAAGAAAGTGAGTTGGGCGGGTTAGATTGTGCGACGTTGCATTTAAAAATAATGGACAAAAGTGTTTTCGTGACGATGCGTTCTTTTTTTTTTTTCCAGCTGCCTTTAGTCAACTCTAGAGGCTATTCGGGGTAAGTTAGCCTCTTCTACGGCGCGACCCTACAACGGTTCACCTGGGAAAGTTGATCGCTCCCATTTGGAGCGGGCGGGCGCTTCAAGACAGCTGACTCTGAAACAGCCTGTTGCTGAGGTAGCGAGGTTCTCAGGAAAGGAAGGTAACTACAATCCTTCCGCGGGACGCGGAGATGATGGTCTGAGGGTTTATTCCCATTCTCTTGGCGACTGGCAAGAGCGAGCACGTGAGTTCCAAGGGGAACAGGTGAGAGCGCAGCTTTGCCTTCCCTTCTTGCCCGAAGGCAGCTCCCACAGGTTTTGCCCTGGAGAAGACCCCTGCTTCCATCTCACGCTCTCGCTTCCCGGAAAAGAGGGAAGGGGCGCCCACCTATTTCGCGGCATTGAGTGTGTGCCGGTTCTAACACCCTCTCCCCCTGCCTTCCACGAGCGCCTTGCACTAAAGTCGCTGGAAGTGGACGGTTGTATTGGTGCTCGGTGAAAGGAAGCGTCTCTTTGCGGCTCGGTTGCGCTGCATGAGCTGGAACAGAGGTGGCTTTTAGCTCCGCGCTCTTGAATAGTCCTGCCAGTAGAAGAGGATTTCCGTCTGGTGTTTTCAAAAATCCTTGAGGATTTGCGCCTCTCTGGTGGGTTCTTTAATCCAATACGCGTTTCTTCGTAAAACAATCCCTTGAACTCGGAGAAAACCTTCTTAAATATCTTTAGATTTGCTTCTGAACAAAAATGCACAGAGCTGCACTTCAAATCTCATGGGAGTTAAAGCAATCCCCATGAAATATGTATATCTTTTTAATTGTTTTGAAACGTGCCTGCCCTCTTTGACTTTTACCATTCCTCAATAGCCTTCTGCGCATACAACAACTGCATAACAGGCAGGAACATCACAGAACTCTTTTCTTCCTTGACTGTCCTGAAGGACCCAGCCAAAAAGTATAGGGAACAGTGGTGAGTATGGTCTGACTTGAGACAGTAGCACTGAGTGAACACTACAGGATTTATTTTAAAGTTGGTAAGTTTAAATCTAGAGTTTAGTAAAATACCTTTTACTAAAACGTGCAGTCTTTTGCTATACCCTCTGTAGTATCTGCCTTAAGGGCTAATTCTGGTACAGAATGCAACAAGGGCCCTTTAGCTATGACTAGCAACAAGCATAACTTATTAATGGAAACAGGTTGTTTTTGCCTCAACATCTCACTGCCAGAAGATTTAAGACTCTTTCGCCACTGCTTAGATATATACAATGATTCTCATTTGAGACTTATTTTATCACTTTACATATTGCTGCAAGCAAGTTACCTCATTCTGCATCTCATTATGTTGTATCCTACTTGATAATCCTAAAGTCTATAAAATTTTGGCTCTGCTACCATCAATTTATTTGTTGATTAACATGACTTTTTTTTTAAATGAAGTAGAATGCAATTGTGGTTATCTGCACATAAAAAAGCAATTCATCCCTTCCTTTGGAAAAAAAATGGCTTTGGATGTTGTGTGAATCCACTAACAATGACAAAGTATAACTGTTCACAGGGAAAGTTTGTTTATGATTGGAAGACTTTGCAAATGTATCCATTTGTGTTCTTTTTAAAAACTAAGTTCTTTTTTCTCATTCAAACCTAAGTAACACTTCTAATGCATTCTTACAACGTATTTATGAGCCTAGTATAAAATTTAGTTTCTCCTATAGGACTATTTCATTTTTTTTTAACATCCAATTTTTGTACATGTCTGTTAGCAAATAGTATGAAAGAAGTAAGGCAGTACAATCCTTTTCCTGTTTAAATTGGAAGAATATTATTAGACTTCAAAGCTTATTGTTGGCACTGTTCGTCATGGGCAGCATGCAAGACAAAATTGCCAGACTTGAAAACTTACCCTTTTAGCAACATTTTGTCAATCTGTACAAACTGACAGCAATGAACTTTACTGTAAGTCTGCCACTTACAGCTGAGCTTATCGGGAGGCACTGTGCATTGTAAACCCCCTGTACTGGAAATACCCTGTTCTTAAATCTTCCAACTAAAGAAGCTTTGGATGAATAGTGCTAAGCAACTAAATTCTTGGTTGCTTAGCCCAATCTTGGAAAGGTTTAACTATGGCTAATGATTTCATGATTATAAAAGGAAGCTATGTCATATGGAAAGGTTTTAACTTTCCAAAGCACCTTGGCTGAATTAAAGTTTACATAGTTTCTCTGCTCTTGTGTTTAGGCATGGACACAGCCCTTCTTGAACAAAACTGATACTGAAAAGTCTGCACCACTTGAGAAAAGCAAAGTCCTTGAAAGTAAGATGCTAATAAGCTGCTTCATATGTCCCAATTCTGTAGACAGGATAGCCATATCTCCCTTCCTTTACACCCCCAGTTCCAGACATTTTATAATAGCCTCCCATAAATAGTCTGTCATTATTTGCATGCTCTTTGGCCAATCATTTTCTGGGTTAAAAATTTAGTGCTGCAACTATTATTTTTCATGAGCATCATTTGAATGCCTTGCAAAAGTAAATATCAGCCATACTGAAGATATATCTGTTATTAGTTAGTTGGACCCAGTGATACTGAACATTTGAAAATTGAAAAATCAGGATTGCATTGCTAATGAGCACAGGAGTCCACATTAGCTCTTCAAGTCCTGCTGCATGATTGGAAGGTAGGAATATGTCCCAATAGGGGCAACACGTAATGTGGCTTTTCTGGAGTAAAATAACAAACCTATTGGCAAATATAGCTGGATACAAAGGTACCAAATCATGATTCCCCCCAGTCAGAATTGGAGACCTTATAGGGCTCTCTGGGCAGCAGCGTTCAAAAGCAACTTAATCTGAAAACCACCGTCCTCCGTTCCTTGCACCGAAGGCCACATGGCTCCAGCCCTGACAGTTCGCTAAAACGTTTCCTCTTTTCTCCCCTAGGAAGTTCGGACTGTCCCCTGCCCCCCCCCCCCGAACGGGAAAGGAAAGACTTGGGCACTTTCTGCCTTCAGAAGATGGCAGAGAGCAGCGGTGCCGCCACAGCCCCTTCGGGCGGGCCTGGGGCCAAAGGCTCCCCGGGCACCTGGTGGAAATTTCTGTCCAGTAGAAAAAAGGGCAAAGAAATCCCGCCGCTGGATTCCTCTGAGCTCCTCTTCGCCCCTCCCAACTCTTCAGACTCTTGGGAGAACCAATCGCCTATTGGCAACCGTCGCAATCTCAAGATTTCCCACTCAGGTCGCTTCAAGGAAAAGAGGAAACCACGCGCAAGCCTCCTCGCCGAAAGTCCGCAAAAGCTGTTTGAAGGTGGGGGTGGAGGCGGCTCTGCCTCCGGTAGCCCCGCGCCTGCGCATCCCAGCGAAGAGACTCGGGGCAAGTGACCGGTTCTCTCTTACCCCGCCTTGCTTGACTGCCATTTGCCCGGTTTGGACGGGAAGGGAGGGCTGGAAGAGCAGGAGGAGGGCCTGTCTTTACCGAGAACTGCTGCTTATTTCGTTCATCGCCCTCCCTCCAGCAGAAATTGGTTTTGCTCCGTGGACAAGAAGCTTTGGCGCGGCTGAGTCATTGATTCTCAAATTAGTTTGGAAAATATCCCCTCTTGCTGGTGGAATGGAGCCTTCTGCATTTTAGCTGAAGACGTGCCTTTAATCTCAGGGGCAACAAAATGATGTAAGTTTAAGACGAGAGCTGCGAATGACGCATAAAGGCACCAGTTCCAGTTATTTTTGGTTACATTCCCATGAAATTAATACGTCCAAGGACAATATTCCCTATGAAATTGTCACTGTGAATTATTTTCTCTCTTTTGCAGGAAGCATTCTAGTTTCAGTCGCATCTATGTATGAACCAATAGGTGAAATATTATTTCATTTTTTAAAGACCCTGTACCTCTTAATTTAATATTTCAACATTAAAATTGTTAATTTGGTGCCAAATGTAGGCATACTCTCTTGATTTCTGTTTGGTTCTCTGCTTAGGTTTTTTTCACTTTATGTCAGGCTTACTGCAATCATTTTGTGAATTGGAAGCCCCCCCCCCATTTCATATTTGATTTGAGGATACAGAATCATATACTATCAGTCTGCTTCTAAATCTAGGAATCCAATTTAAATGCATCTCTGACAATAATGACTCTTTGACCATTGCTTGAACACATTGAGGAAAGAGAAACCCACTATTCTAGAAAACTGCAAATTTTTGTTAGCGAATCCCAGACAGAATTATATTCAAAATGAGAAATACTGGCATAGTATAAAGTTAAAGTTCATCAATGAGTTTTACCCATCCTGGGTAAAAATTCATATTGCACAAATCACTTCTGGTTGCAATTGCAGTGCATGTAGAGTGCAATAGATAAGTTAACATTATGATTTTTATTTGACAATATATAAACCACAAATGATTAAAGGCAATCTTGGTGAAGTTGACTACAACATTTCTAAAACAGTCTGAAGGCATATGATTTACTATGAGGGGAATCTCATATTACATGCACCACTTTTGAAACATTTTGCAACAAAAGCTAAAGACCTAGTATGGTTTCAGATGAAGTTTTTATCATTCAGATAGTCCTCTACTTATGATCATAACTGAGCCCAAAATTTCTGTTAAGTGAGACATTTAAGTGAGTTTTGCCCCATTTTACAACCTTTCTTGCCTCAGTTGTTACTGTAAGTGAATCAATCCAGTTGATAAATTAGTAACCTGATTATTAAGTGAATCTAGCTTCCCCATTGACTTTGCTTGTCAGAAGGTCACAAAATGGGATCATATGACTTTGGGACACTGAAACAGTCATAAATATGAACCAGTTGCCAAGATTTGAATTATGATCACATGATCATAGGGATGCTGCAAAGAAAATAACTGTGAAAAATGGCGATATTACTTTTTTCAGTGCCATTGTACCTTTGAACGGTCATTAAATGAACTATTGTAAGATGAGGATTATCTGTACAGATAGTCCTTGAGTTACAACAGTTCATTTAGTAACTGTTCGAAGTTACAATTGCACTGAAAAAAAGTGGGTTATCTTTTTCACACTCATGACCATTGCAGAATCCCCATGGTTATATGATCAAATTTCAGACACTTGGCAACTGACTCATATTTATGACGGTTGCAGTGTCCCTGGATCATCTGATCACCTTTTTGGAACTTCTGTCAAGCAAATGGAGAAACTAAATTCATTTTACAACTGTGTTAATAATTTAACAACTGCAGTGATTCACTTAACAGCTGTAGCAAGAAAGGTCAGAAAATGGAGCAAAATTTAGGCTCTATTGTGGTCATAAGTTGACCGTGTGCATGTTGGAAAGATCATAAACATGAAACTGGTCATAAGTCACATTTTTCAGTGCCACTATAACTTCAAACTAAATGAACTGTTGTAACCCGAGGACTACCTATATACTATGCTAAACCACAACATAATTTCTTCGGTTTGGATTTAGTAGAATAAGTGCACACAGTTACAGTATTTTATAAACCATGATTTATGGCTTAGTTTGATGGTTAAAAGATTAAGGCTTAGTATAATATGCACCTATTGCTTCCATGTGTAGATTTTACCATTTACCTAATATTGGGAGGAGGTAGTTGCCTAGTTTTTCTTATTCTAAAAAAGATCCTCAATATTCTTAGATAAAACCAGCATTTGTATATATTTAAAATCTAAACTTCTGTTCTAATGAGACCCTGCAATCTTAGTCATTCTAGAATAGCTTTTGCAATTAATAACTGTTTAAAAAAAATTATAAAATTCTTCCATTGCAGCAAAAAAAAGAGAAAGTTTCTCCAAAGCATCTTTTTGCTTTATTTTGCAGACTCTTTTTATTGGCCAGTAGAGTTTTAATAGCCTACCTTTTAAAAGTCAAGGAAGAAATGCTCAGTCTTATCTTATTTCAAGGCCAAATTTTCTGGTAGCCCTTGCAGATTCTTAAGAATTATGTTCCTGTTGGTAGAAATAATGGTAATTGAATCTGGAAGGGAGTAGAGAGGAAGGGAGTAGATTATATTTGGGAAGCAGTGTACTGACTGCATTTGTGGCTCCCAGGTTTATTCACTTCAAGAAAGCAAAAAAAGTGAAAGCATAATTTTATTTTGTTTGTGATAATCATAAGCATATCATATGAGAATGATATTTGTACTTCCTATTCCAATAATACATTGTTTAATAGTAGAGTACAATTGTCAAGTTACTGATTGCTATTCTAGAGACACTGAATTAGAAAGTTTTAGGCTAAATGGGCCAGCCTAAATGCATCTGCTTAATTCAGCGTAAATTATCTTACATCTTAAATTCTCAATTACTGACGCAGGTTTTTTTGGATTTCATTTAATGTATCATAAATTTTAATACCTGATTTCAAAATGCACCATTACTATGACACTCTGACAATTTTAGAGCATATATTAAGGTCATAACATTTTCTTTGGGTCATTCAATATATAAAAACTTCTTTTAATGACCAACAAACATCTGGGTTGGATTTCTAAACAGATAATGTATAATTCTAACTCTGGTAGAAAAAATATTTCATAATCTAGAACAGCAGTCCCCAATCTTTCTGGCTTTGTGGACTGGTGGTGGCAGTGAGGAGGAGGAGGAGGAAGAAGGAAGGGAGGTTATCGCACAAGCAACCTAATTACACCTGTGCAAATGGAGCTTGTCCACCACTTGTGCAGCCTGATTCTCAATGGACCACAGACTAGTAGCGGTCTGCAGACTGAGGGGTTGAAGATCCCTGGTCTAGAGGAGTGAGGAGTCAGAATTAACTGTAAAAGAACAAGATTTAAAAGTTATATTTAGTAATATACAAATTTATATTAGCATTTGCTCTTCTATTTACAGAAGCTATAATATTAAACAAGGTGATTTTTTTTTCAGTTATGTTCAAAATGACTCATGGTTTAAATTGTCAAATAACTATAACATACATATCTCAAAACGAGTGTCTCAACAGACTGCAGCACATAGTCATGTCTCTCTTAGAGGTTACATAGAATCAGTGCAAGTCATCACTTCCAGGTCTCAGAGTCTAGGACTACCCAGTGCAGCCAGCTGGGGGCAGCCAGCTGGGGACGACCCCCTTGCCACCATCAAGTCACCTCTGCCAACTGATGCTGCCAGGTCATTGCAGGACAATTCAACATGGGCAATTTGCTATGGGAACAACTTGCTGCAGGGGCCTGGATAGAAAGCCTGGTGAGCAGGTGGGCAAGCGAGTAGAGCCAGGCAGGCAAGTGAGTAAGGGAGTGGGCAGAGTGCACAGCAATGGCAACAGTGTCTGGAGGCTTCCCATTTGCATATCCCCCACCAAGACTGCTGCTATTACCGCTCTGCTGAGCTCCAGACCTTTCAAAGTTTGGACAGTTTGGTGGTCGCAGTGGTGGGCAAGATAGTGGAGGGGGAAATGGTGATAGCTGGGAGATGTGAAAATGGGAAGCCCATGGCTGCCACCTTATCCCTGCCCACTGCCATCACCGAATGGTCCGAATTCTGAAGCTGCCCAGAGATCAGCATGGAAGCAATGGCTGTGGCAGCAGGGATGTGAAAACGGGAAGCGCCCAGTTGCTGATGCTGTGTATTCTGCCCACTCGCTTACTTTACTGCCTGGCTCTCCATCTGGGTGCTCACACCAAATTGTCCCTGCCATGAATTGCCCAGGTTGAGTTGTCCTGCAATGAGTTTGCAACAGTGAGTTGGCAGAGGTGACTTGGCAGTGCCAAGAGGGCTATTCCCAGTCCTGCTTTTATGTTTTGCACTCCAAAATGTTTCTAAACAATCCTTATGTTAGAATCTGTGCTGATTATAATAGAAACAAAAACCTGGATGGAACCTAGAATATTGGAGATCTGGAGTGAAAATTAAGCCTGAATATTTAATGACTACCCCAAACTGAATTATTATGATGCTCCACTTTATTTTAAATAATATTGTTAAATATTCTTAGAAGTAGTATCTCTTGCAAAATCTGATTCATGTGGCT